CCACCATGCCCAGCTAATTTTTCGTATTTTTAGTAGAGACGGGGTTTCACCATGTTGACCAGGATGGTCTCGATCTCTTGACCTCGTGATCCACCCACCTCGGCCTCCCAAAGTGCTGGGATTACAGGCTTGAGCCACCGCGCCCGGCCTTAAAATGTTATTTCTTTATTTAAGACTCACTTATTAGTCCACTGTTTCTCTGAAAAATTTTAGAGCTAGATATAGTAATAGTGGGTTTTCTAATGCATAATATTCTGTAATATAGCAATTCCTTACATGTGTGAAGTCGTGCATAACTTTCTAATTTTGTAAAATGTTGGCACTGAGTCATCAGATCTAGCCTTCATCGCTTTCCAGTGAGAGGCAGAGACCCAAAGGATCAGTCACTTGAAGTCTCTGAAAGTGAGCCTCACTCGTGACTTATCCCAAAGTAAAGCGATGCTTTTCCTCTCATTTTAGCTTCAGGACTTTGTTACACAAGCCCTGCCCTAGGCCTGTTACTTTATACTCATATCCTGAAAATGTGATTTCATCTATGAAGGGGTAAAATATTGGTTTGTATTTTTTTGAAATAAAAGTTGTCCCTATATTGTCTCTCATGCCTGTTAATACCTACACTGAAAGTAGGAACTTCAAAAAAAAAAATTCTAAGATAGGTAGTCAAGAGAGTTTGCCATTACAAAGATGTCTTATTACGGAATATTGACCTAACTGGAGATGAGGTAATTACCAAAATGTTGAAAATGTTCTATTTGAGAACTCTCCCCATTTTGGGGTATTCCTTGTTCATTTGAATTTGGTGACTGCCTACTGTTCCAGTTTCAGTGCCAGCTTGGGTCCCACTGTTCACGTCAGGGGAGACCTTGCCTTGGGGACATAGGTGGGCCTCTTGCAATTTGTGCTGTTGACCTTCTATTTGGTGGGACCATCTCTCCTGCACCTGCTACCTGACTGCAGATGGCGTGAGAGGGAGGGTTGATGGCAGGAAGCCAGGAAGTAGGTATCGTGGTATTAGCCAGGCTTTTACTTCAACTGTTTGTGGCTTTAGATTTAAGGAAGCAGGGCCTTGGCCAGTGCTGAGTCTTGGTCCAGTGGACATAGTGCAGCTTTCCCTGGAGCACTGCCCAGGTGCAGGACCTGC